ATTTACACTGTCCTTCCAAGCAAGATGTCAAATGGTTCAGTTTCTTTTAATAATCCCAGTTCATATGTAATATTTTACTGCATAATTATTACATGCTTGACAGAAATATATTTTGTATTCAATGTCGACAGTGTGGTAGGATAGCACAGAGCTTCGCGATTGATATCGCTTATCCTGCCCGAAAAGACCATAAACATTACAGGTCACGTCTGCAGTAATAATTAACTAACAGACATGAATCCTAAAAACGAATAATGTCCGAGCAAATCATGACTTTTCACTTTACACCTACCTCTGACTAGGCGTAAGATTTAGTTTCAGACGTAGCACTACGCCGAGATGGTGCAACGGGTATAAATTCTACGCACGACTTAAAGCGCATTTTACGTCCAGCCTAGTCTTACAACCGGGTGTACATCCAGCTGGTACAACCGGCCCCTGGTCTGAATCAGGAGAGAAACATGAACAGATCAAGGACTGTTTACAAGCAAAAACAGTCCAAAACAGATCTAAACAAATACGTCGGTGGATTTTGAAGTGAGAGGAGACGTTGTGAGAAAGCGTTAATATGGATTATGGACTCATATTTTGGCCAGAAGCAACAGTTAAAGCTAAAATGGCTTAATGATGGGTTTGTTTATTACAAACATGCAGCTTTTCTCTTCACAAGACATTAACTGATGGACTGGAGTCGTTAAGATTACTTGTGGATTATTGTGATGTTTTTATCAGCTGTTTGGACTCTCATTCTGACGGCACCCATTCACTGCAGAGCATCCATTGGTGAGCAAGTGATGCTACATTTCTCCAAATCTGTTCCCATGAAGAAACACCATCGTGGATGCCCTGAGGGTACATTTTTAGCTAATTTTCATTTTTGGGTGAACTATTCCTTTAAGCAAGTTTAGAACATTTAGGCTGGTTTTGGGTTAATTTAAGCAGGATTTTTCTCTACTATCTACTGATACATATTGCTTTCTCAGGCTCGTCCAAAAGATCTTGTCCAAGGAACTGGATGAAACTGACCCTGTGCATTCGCTTTTGATGGATCTCGTTTCACAATCCTGCTTCACCCTGCCACAGTCTGAGAACTGTCTCAATGGACAAAGGTTGGTATAGACATTATAATTAAATATCTGGGGTGGTAACTCAAAAGTTGGCTGATTCAGATTAATTGTCCCTACATTTGTGGTACAATGTGCTGTGAATGAGAATGTATTTACTAAACAAAGAATAATGTAATGCAAACAATAATTTAAAGAATGGACAGTTAATCAAGTTGTTTCTGATGAGTAAACCATGAAACAAAAACAAAAAAAAAAACAATCTTTGTGGTGTCTCTTCTATTTAGTTGCTCAACTCATCCACCAGAAGCACAGCTCATCCAAAACTGGAGGAAAGACATGACAGGAGGGCGACATCTAGTGGACTTCAAGCGCAAACTCAAGAGGATGAACCCTAAACGCTCCAAGAGGAAAGACTCTCCAGTCAGATTATATAAGAAATGCATCAGGATGCACACTAAACTGCAGAGACCTCGAGTTGCTGAACGGAAACGCTCATAAAGTCCGTTTCAACTCAACAAAGCAGCAAAAAACTTGCAATGGGAAAACAATAGCAATACAAATGCTCTTATGAAACAGCTTATGTAGCCTACATTAAGAGTCAATGGGGGAAAACTCACAAGTCATAACCTGACACAAATCTACATTTTGGTATAAGAAATCTGTGGTGAAACATTATTGTGAACATATTTTTATTGCGAAAAGGTTAAATTTAGCCTAATGTAATAGGTCAGAGTGTTACAGTTACCTCATTATGGGGTAATATGGTACAAATAGTTTTAGCTGCAAGAAATAATGTGCATTTAAAGCCAACTTCTAAGTGCCATATATATTGTAATTATTTGAAATTGATATCCAGCCACATATTTCAATGAAATAATGCATCGTAAACATTCAAAAGTCATTTACTTTCATAACTATTTTTACAATTGCCCCCACCCTCACAGCCACGATAAGACTCGTGAGCTAGCGATAGACTCTTTCATTCATGTTAAACTTTACCCCACAATCTAGAGATAAACTACTAGATATCTACTACTAGTTAAATGACCCAAAATCATTTTCATACCTCAAAATCTGTGTTCCGTTATATTTTTGTTTTTCTCCTGAGTCGCAATTCCCGCTTCTTCTCCTCAGGTAAAACGGGATGCAATTGCGCATGCGCTGAAAATATCAGTAACGTTACTCCTAAGAACTGACTTTGTTACGATATGTTTTGGTCTCTACTACCTAATATTGCTACCTAATATCTGAATTGATGTAACAAGCGAGTGTTGTAAATGTATGTAAAATTGTAAATAACATGTAAATAAATTTTAATAACTTTATGCGAGTCTGACTTTGATCATGTTCAGGTCCAGATGCCAGTATACACTTATAAAGTTCTACTAGCTCATTGTTTTTATTTGTTTGGTTGTAAATGGTGAATTAAATGGTAAATTATTATATATATTGGTACATTTATATGTTAATCAGTCAGAACCACGGTACACGTCAAAAAAAAAAGTAGGCTACTGTCATATCATCACTTTATCACGTTAAGGATACACATTTTTAATAATAATAATAATAATAATATTTATTATTATTATTTAAAATATCGCAATTTATAATAATAGCAATAACTATAATAACAGCAATAACATTTTAAATATAGCTGCGCTTAGGACTGTCATTTAATGATCAATGTTTACATCGTCATAGTTTTACAATATTTTGGCGCACAATAATTTCACAGACTAAAAGTTACGAAAGATGCCACAGTCAGAGAAGTGCAGCTAGTGATCCAGGTAGGGATGTAACGATTACCGCTTTGACGATAAATCATGATAAAATTCCCCACAGTATTACCGTTTTATCTTTTAATTATCATTAAAACCGTGTAAGATTACCGCAATTTGAACAACTCGCGATAAATAAATACTGTCCAGCATAAAGCAGAGTTTTAAGTAACAGTCTCACCTGCGCACAGCATGCAGCGTAGTTTCGTTTGGAGTGAAAACAGGGCGGAAAAGCTGGGAGGTTTTAAAAGAATGCTAAGGGAATTATACAAATGAATATATGAATGAATTAATTATATGAATGTACCTCTGAAGGTTCTGAATGTCTTCAGAAACGATTCGATGGCATTTTGTTTTCATCTTCGCTCCATGTAATACCTAAAGGAAGC